GGTTTTTGTCCTTCATTGTGTTAATGTGGTGTATTACATTGATTTTTGTACATTGAACCATCCTTGTATTCCAGGAATATGTCCCCCTTGGTCCTGGTGTGTAATCCTTCTAAAGTGCTGTTGAATTCCATGTGCTAGTATTTTGCTGAAGATTTTTGCATCAGTATTTACCAGGAATATTGCTCTGTAGTTTTCTTTTCTTGTAGTGTCTTTGTCTAGCATTGGCATCAGGGTAATGCTGGCCTCATAGAATGAGCTTGGAAGTTTTCCCTCCTCTTCAATGTTTCGGAAGAGTTTCAAAAGGAGTGGTGTTAATTCTTCTGTAAATGTTTGCTGGAATTATCCAGTGAAGCCATCTGCTTCTGGGCTTTCCTTTGTTGGAAGGTTTTTGATTATTGACTCAATCTCCCTACCTGGTCTGTTTAGATTTTCTTCTTCTTCGTGATTCAATCTTGACAGGTTCAGTTTTGCTAGGAATTTATCCATTTCTCCAAGGTTATCTAATTTGTTGGCATACAATTGTTCATAGTATTCTCTTATAATCATTTTTATTCCTCTGGCATTGGTTGTAATGCCACACTTTGGTTTCCGATTTTAGTTATTTGGGTCCTTTGTCTCTTTTCCTGTTAACATAACCAGGGGATTGTCAATTTTTGTTCATCTTTTCCAACAAACAACTCTTATCTTCACTGATTTTTTTTTCCTATTGTTTTTCTATTCCACAATTCATTTTTCTTAACTCTAATCTCTGTTATTTCCTTCCGTTCCATAGCTTTCAATTTAGATTGTCCTTCTTTACCCAGTTTCTTGAGGTGTAAAGTTAATTCATTGATTTGAAATCTTTCCTTTCTTTGTGTATGCTTTTACAGCTATAAACTTGCCCCTTACCATGGCTTTTGCTGCATTCCATACGTTTTGCTACGTATGTTTTCATTTTCGTTTGTCTCAAAGTATTTTGTAAGTTGCAACATCTTACAACATCTTCCTTGCAACATCTTCTTTGACCCATTGGTTGTATAAGATTGTGTTGCTGAATTTTCACATCTCTGCGAATTTTCAAGTTTTTCTAGATTTATTCCACTGTGATCAGAAAAGCTACTTCGTATGATTTAAAGCCTCATGAATTTGTTAAGACTTGTTTTGTGTCCCAATATGTGGTCATTCCTGGACAATGTTCTGTGTGCACTTGAGCAAAATTTGTATTCTGCTATCATTGCTGAAGTGCTCTGTGTGTGTCTGTGTTGACTAAATAAACATAAAATGCTTTTGCATGGCAAAAACAATGAAACAAAATGCCATCAACAAGGTAAAAATATTCATGACAAACAGGAAAAAATATTTGCAACTTATATCATAAGAAAAAGGTAACTGTCCTAATACATCCCTAAGATACAAAGAACTGTTTTGGGGGAAAAAGAAAAGGCCAGATTCCCTGTAGAAACTGGGCCAAAAATATAAACTAATAGTACATAAGAAGAAGAGAAAACAGGAAAGGCTCTTAACCATATGAAAAAGATGTGCAACCTTGCACATATCAAGGGAAATGCAGGTTAAAATATACACTAATATATCATTTATCACCTGCCAGATGGGAAAATTTAAAAATCTCGTAAGAGTACTGGTGAGACTCTGTGAAAACTTCCTCTCTCAGATATTGATAGGGAGAAAGGTAAATGGTACATGTTTTCTGAAGAGGGATTTGACAGTAATGAGCAAGATAACTTGTGGTTTTACCTTTTAAGCAGCATTAGCATGCCCTAGGAATCAATCCCAAAGATATAGTGATAAAAATTACCCAAGGCTATGTCACACACCTATTCATTGCAGCCATATTTGTAACAGCAAGAATAGAAACAACCAAAGTGTCCATTAATAGAAGACCGGGTGAGTGAAATACGGTAGGTCCACTCCAGCACTCTCTAGCTGTGGAGAGGAATGAGGGATGTCGCTACAGAGCACTATGGAGTGATCTCAAGGATTTTTTGTTTCACTTTTAGTAACTGATTTTATTCACGTGTCTTTAACCACTCTGCTACATGTATTACATTGTGGCTACCACACCCGTCCACTGAAATGACACAGTTCTCAACATGGGGAGCAAGCAGTGCTTTTGGAAACATTTTTTATACCCGTGGCTTTACGAGATGCATTATAGTGTGGTCAGTACATCCATTCCCTGAAATAACTCTGTTCTCACCTTGGTGAGCAAGCAGACTCAAGGATATATTTTTAGGTTAAAAAAAGGCAAGTTGGAGAAGTTTATGTAGATTATGCAGCATTTATCTAAGCAGGAGGAAAGAGTACAATAAACGTCCATCTCTCTACTGAGAGATACAGGTCCAATGGCTAGGTAACACCAGTTGCCCCCATTCCTTTAGCCTTTAAGAAATCTGTGGAATACAGCGCTGTGTAGGCTTTGCTTATTCTGATGTCCCTACCACTCACCTCTACCCAACTTTGGCCCCCTCCAAGAATGCACATTCCCACACAAATGGTTTTGACTGTTCTTTCTGCTCGATACTTGTCCCAGCTCTTTCCATTTTTTATTAAAAAATAACACTTTAACACACACTTTAGGCTCTCCTTGGTCAGAAACCAGCAGTAGCAGTCCATTATGGCCCTGCAGCGTTAGCAGGATCTACTTTGGAAGAGGAGTCTTTCTGGGCAAGGGTGGAAAGCAGTGGGAGGCTTGAGCTGGCCCTTACTGGAGCATGAGAGCTGACTGTTAGATTTTCAGGGCTTTTGTGAGCCAGTTATTAAATACAGCCATTATTGAAAACTAAATTACATAAACTAACAATCACATTCATTACACTGAAAACAGACACACCACGTGCTCAAAAATCATCGATCCCTAATTAATTTTCCAAATTTTGCTATTATGTGTGTTCTTGTGGTTATTGACATTTATTGTACCTGAATAGTGAAAACACACCTCTTCCCAACTCTGCATTCATTGATGTCAAGTTGGTATCTGGAAATCAGCAAATGTGACAACTTGGGGCATTTCCTCCAAACTCCCTCCCCAACCCCCACCCCGAGATCCAGTTGTTAAACCTTTAGCTACACACTCCTGGTTGAAACTGATCCACTCTACAGATGCTCCGATGTGGTGGATATGCTCAGATCTAACCAATGTCGTAATATAACATACAAGAGTCAAGACCTAACTCACAGTACTCTATACAGTGATGTTTTAAATCTGTGAGCTGAGGTAGTACGTGACAAAGGGAAGTACGCAAAGAGGTTTGATATTTAACATTTTCAAAGATGTCTTAATATGCCAAAAATACATCATTATGAGACTTTTGGAAAAGTTACAGAACAACGTGTGTATGTGTGTGTGTGTGTGTGTGTGTGTGTGTGTGCGTGTGTGTGTCTGGCGCCAGTGTCAGGTCTGAAAAGCCCTGCGTGGAAATGGCAGTGGGCATCAGAAAAATGAAAGGACCCAGGGAAAAGGGTCTCACTCCTTCCCCCAACATCCATCTCTTTATTTCTTTTTACCTCCCTCTCTCATGCTACATCCTTTAAGCAAAATATCTTTCCTCTTTTACCCAACTCAGCTGTGGAACTGTGGTGTGCCTAGAACACAATTGCATAGCAAGGTATTAGTCCTTTTCCAGGTACCACTGCTTCCTTCCTCCAGGAATGTGTGGATGTGTTCATCTGTTACTGGGAGAAGAGGAATCATTTATTCAAGTACCAAACCAGGGAAGGAAGGAAGGCATGAGATGGGCTTCAGTCTTGCTCTCTGCCATCAGATTGAGAATATAAGAATCCTGACTCCTCAAGGCCTCAAAAAGGAAATGACAATTTGTAACTGGATGTCATCACAATCGATCACCTTGGGTAGCATAGAGGGAGGGAAGGAAGGAAGGAGATGACAGCATGGGAAGGAGTCCATATCCAGGCATGTACAATTGAGCTCTCTCTGCCTGCTGAGGGTCTCCAGTTCTTCATTTGTCTACAACATCAACGGAGGACTGAGAAACCAGTGCAGGTAAGAAAGATCTGATTGATCACCACCTTGAGTAAGAAAAAACCCTTCTGACTGATGTCTGGTACATCAAGTTTTAAACCTTTTATTCAGTGTTTTATAAAAAAGTTAACTATTAGCTAATTCAGGGCCTGGTAAAGACAAGGGAATTTTCCCTGATCTTTGGCTAAAAATTTCCCCCAAAACACTTTTGCAAGTCACTCTCACTCTTTGAGTGCATTTCCTCATAGGTAAAATGGCAATGATAATGCTCAGCTTGCAGAGTCGTTGCGAGGCTGTATGTGCTTAGTATGGTGACGCGGAATAAATAAAAGGTAGTGACTCTTCCTCATATTTCATGGGTCCTTCCAAAGTAAGATCTGAGTCTAATTCAGTTCCCCCCTTTTTTGATTCTTCTTGTCCTGACTGGCCTCAGTTTCCCCCACTGTAAAGTTCACATTGGACTACAATAAAACTGGCATTCCATTCACCAAAATTATCCTTCATTGATGTTTGGTTTGGCCCACATATGGGGCTTCGAAAAGGAACCTGAGCCAAGGTTTATAAGTTGGGTAATCTTACATAGAGATCTGGAATCCCATCTTCTCTGAAAGCCAGTCGCTTTGGCAACCGCGAGCCCACATTCCTGCATGGCAACAGTTGAGCCAAGCACCAGCTGCCGCCTTAGGGAGAGCACGCACTGTCACTTTGGCCAGAGCCCATCGGGCCTGCTCTACTCGTTTACACGATCTGCTTGATCCTGTAGGTGTTGCAACTTGTGGCCCTCTGGACGACTGAAAACGGTCCATGCCAGGCAGAGGGTAGGTACTTAACTGCTCAATGAATGAATATCCTACTCTTTTTCCTCTACCATTTTCTTCTGTAGCCACGTTAAGAAGAAATCCCAGTTATTGAGCGGGGTGATTCTCACTTTGAGACATGAATTGAACAAGTCCGTTACAGTCAGGATAGTCTATAGTCTTACTGGGTCATACCGTGGTAACAAACAACCCATATATCACAGTGCCTTACAACAACAAGGGTTTATTATTTGTTCACGCACACAGACCTAGAGACAAAGTGAAAACATTCTTATGTTTCCACATGCATGGATACGTACATGAGTGCACAGGTATGTCTGCAATCACAAGACAAATAAAAACTCTGGCATATGAATTCACACAGAACCCCATTTAGAGACTGATCAACTTAGATTGCACAATCCTGCTATGATAGGAGACATAAAAAGGCCCCAGCATCCAAAGGAGTAAGGGATAGAGGTACGAGAATATCCACCCTCAGCCAAGGAATTGCCCCATATAATAAAAAGGGTCTGAAAGCTTATAAAACACCTGAAGGCTTAAAAAAAGATGTTAAGCATTTTGAACATTAACCATTTTGCACATTCAGAAACAGGATTCCAAATAGGCAGTGCTCTACTGAGGCCTCCTCCTCTGGGCTCCTAGCTCAAGAGGGAGATGCAGCCCAGATGTCCAATAGGCAGCGAGACAGAGCTGGCTGGCCTGGGGCGGAGAGAGGGGCTGGGAGGCTGGAGTCCTTTATCTCCAGCAGGAGCTGTAGACAGAAAGGAAGGGGCCAGAGCCAGGTCACATCCACGTCCGCTCCCAGCTCTCCCCTTTTTTGTGTGTCCCACCCAACCAAAGTTTGTCACCTGGACTACTGTACGGACCTCTTCCTCTCTGATTTTCCCCGTCTTCAGGCTTGCCTCCACCCCCCGCCCCCACCATCCCTCCATCACAACCACCACATCTCTTTCTGTCAAGCCCAGGGTCTCTGAAAATTCTCCTCCCTAGCTCTGAAACATTCCCTGGCTCCTCACCACCCACACTTGCTGGTCTAGCCTCCTAAGCCTGGCCTGCCAGACCTCCGTGATTTGTAGCCTCTCCAGCCTCGTCCCCTTCTATCCCAGCAGTCCCTCCAGGGGTGTTTCTTCACTCACACACCATGCCCCATCCACCACTTGGGTCGAGGAATGCCTAGCCATCCCTCAGAGCTTCCCCAGGCGTTTATCCCTCCTCACGGCTCCTCCATCATTGAGATTTAGCCAGAAAACACAGCTTGCTTGCCAAGGCATCCAGGCTCCACATTTAGACCGGAAGCTCCCTGCAGGCAGGAACCAGATCTCCTTCCAGACCAGACCCTTGCCACCTCTGTATGTCGTCCCCAGACTGCAGCAGACTGCAGGGGTCTGGGTAGAGAGCCCTGGGCTGGGAGTCAGGAGACCTGGTTCCTCCACTTGAGATGCTGCGTGCTCTAAGGCAAGTCCCTGCCACTCTTGGGACCTCAGTTTCCTTGTTTCTTGGCATCAGGGCACCGGGCATTTGCTGTTCAGTGCAAAGCTCAATAAACTGCAGATTCACTGAACAGCCCTCGACTGCCATTTCAAGAGTCGGACTGAGGAGCTTGGGTGCCTGGCCCCACGGAAGTGCAACCTACCGACCCCGATTTCCCAGTTAGAACCTGCTTACCACGAGGCACCCTCCCCCCGCCACCCTGTTCCCAATTATCCCCACCTCATGTTCTCCTTCCAAGGAGCAAGCTACCTGGTGGGACGCAGGGCTGGTTCACGGAGGTGGAGTCAGAAGGGGCCTGGGAGGAGTCTCTCAGGGTCAGCAGAGCCTCGGCGGCCTCCAGCTTCCGCTGCCACTCTAAGGAGGCAGAAATCGCAGCCTGGTCCGACGCTTTGGGGGCCTGCAAAGGAAAGGGCGTGAGAGAATGGGCACTGGAAACCATACCTCCTCCCAATGCGACAAGTGCCCCTTCAGCCCCCAGTTCCCTCGAGCCCCCCGCCTCCCAGGGCCTTCTGCTCTTCCCGTCCGCTAAGCTCCGCCCCTCCCAGGGTTCTGGACCCCACTACTTTCCCAGGACCTGTGGCTGCAGTAGAAGAGGGTCAAGGGTGGCACAGGGCTGGAGGATCAGAGTTGAGCATCTAGAAACAAGGAGAGGAGAGGCCAGGGGATTAAATCCTCCGACAGACACGTACTACCAGTAGACAGAGAGAGGGGCAGGATTTTGCAATAGCTGGATGTGGAAATCCCAATGCCTGCTGGACCGTTAGTCGTTGTAGCTGGGGCAAGTCCCTTCTCCTGCTTGGCCTGTTTTCTTTTCCAAACCTCTTATTTCTATATCTTTCCCGAGACACTTATTCCTGCCAGCATTTTCCTCCCAGGGCAACGGTGAAGATGATGGGAAAGCACAGGTGTCTGTGTTTTAATCCGCAAAGCACCTGGAGAGATGTGACTGCTGTCCCTGTTCAGGGACTGGTTCTCGCCTCCGTATTGCCCAATCCCCATGAGTCTTGAAGGACAAGTCTGGCTCATCTCCAGGAAGCTTTCTCTAATGGCCTCTGCACTTTCCCTTGGGCCTCTGTGGCCTTCACCATCATGGCCTCCACCTGTCAGCAGGACCTTCTATCCCGTCCATCTGCTTCATGTGGAGTAACAACCCTCATTTGTTGGAGGCCTACTATGTGGCAGGCCTGCGTCAGTCCTCTTTCCAGTGCTATAGGTATAGAATATTGTCCCCGGTACACCCATAAGGAAATGGAGGTTCGGACGTGTAAAGTCACTCGTCCAAAGTCTCACAAATAGGAAATGGCAAAGCTGGGAGAGCCCTATCCTTGCCTGCTAGTCTTAGATGCTGCCTTCTCCTTCCCTGTTTCCTCCTCCTTCTCCTCCCCCTTCTCCTCCTCCTGTCTCCCATGGCACCAAGCACAAGGTTGGGCACACAAGACACAGCCAGTTCCATGGTCCTCACTCCACTCACGTGCTGGGCAGGGCAGGGGGCCCGTGGGGCTCCCCAGAAAGAGAAACCATCAGTTGCTGCTCCAAGGTCGCTGGAGTGCGGGGCACAGACAAAGGTTCTGGGGGCTTGCCGAGCAGCAGAGCCCCTGGGGAGCCCTCCTGCAGAGGCAGAGAACATAGGTGGGAGTCAGGTTCCAGGCCAGCCATGGAAAGAGGAGGTGTGGGCATGTTCCAGGATGAGGACAGGAGTCCAGAACGTCAGAGCTCTGAGGACCTTGAGGACCAGCCAGTCTTACCTTTCATTTTGCAACTGGGGAAATTGAGGCCCAGGGGGAAGTGACTTTTCCCAAGGTCACAAGGCAAGTTGGTGGCAGGGTCGCAGATGGAACCCATGTCTTTGGGGCACAGTGAAAGGGGTCTGGGCAGTGACTGGGTGGGAGCCTCCCCCGCTGGCCACGGACTCTCCTTACCTCCCCGGGGGTTGTGTGGACGTGGGCCTCAGGCTGCAGCACGTTGCTCTCCTTCCCAGCTGTGAAAGACCAGGGACAGCTTTGCTGAGCCCTTCGTTTCCCCGTCCCTCCCGCAGGCCCCACCCCTCTTTACCCACCCCTAGTCTCAGGTCTCACCTCACCGTGGACCTTTTCGAACCCCCAGATCTCTCCGCCTGACAAACACTTGGTAGATAACATTGATGATGTTTTATACTTGGGCAAGTTAAGGTCCAGGGAGTAACTCGCCCCAGGCCACACCGAACTTTGGTGACAGGACTGGTGAGAGAACTACTCATGCTTCATGCTTCCTCCGCCCAAACTCAGGCTCCCTCCCTGGCCAGAGACACTCACTGAGGACTCCTGCTTCCACGGCCAAATTCTTCACACGGGCGTGAGCTCTGAGAGGGACAGCCATACTCTTTAGCAGTCCTCGAGCCAGTTGCCTCTTTAGCCGAGCCCGCCGCTCCCTCTTCAAGGCACTCACAGCAGGGAAGATCCTGTGGTTCTCCCTAAAGTGGGGGATTGCAGGTCTGAGGTTAGCCACATTTAGAGGAGGCCTGACCCCTCCCCGTCTCAGACACCATACTCACGAGAAGAGGGCACAATTGTGACACTTGCAGGCCTGGAAGAGGCAGAAATGCTTGTGGCCCCTGATTTGGGTAGTGATGCCATGGTTGTGGCAGCGGTCACAGCGACCTATAGCTCTTCTGGGGCCAAGTTCAATCCCCCACGGGGCTCCAGTCTCACGCCCTGTGGTGCATTCGGAGTCAGAGGGGCAGCAGGGCACAGCAGGTATTTCTTTGGGTTCCATGGTTCTAGGGTCAGGAGCGGAGGTCAGAATGGCCACATGATCCCCTACCCCCAACGTACTTCCTCTGCCCTTGGAAAACCCTATCTGAGGTGGCTGGATTCTTCTTCTCTGTCTTGCTCACTGCTGGAATGAGATCGCCCCCTCCCTTCTTCTCCCGTGGCTTTCTCCAACCTTCACCCTGACCTCCTTGCTCAAGTCGCCTCCTTCCAGGAAGCCCCACTCATGCATAGCCTCCTCCCAAGAAACTCTCAGCATCATGGGGCCCGGACGCATTCAATCGATTCATCATTCTCCCTGCTTACCTTCACTCTACCACAGAGCCCACTTTCAGTCGCATACATGCACTCCCATGCCCCCTTCAACAATTGCTACACTCCCTTCTCATGTGTCACCCTGTACTCTGCCAAACCCAGCTATTATTCCTGGTATCCACTTCAACAAATCTCTTCCAAACCTCCCGCATTCACTCACTCCCCACACGCGATTTTATGCCCCCCCCCCCCGGCTCAATTCCATTATTCGTCTCTTCCATGCCCTACATTCAGTTTTCTCCTCACATTCCATTCTGATTTTTTTCTTGCACCGCACCTTGAGTTTAATTATCCTCTCGCTCCCTCTTTAAGCTGATTTCCCTTTCATACCCCATGAAATCATATTGTCCTCCTGGATCCCTGGCCCTCTTTCGGTTATCATTTTCACTCATCCCGCCATTCATTCCCTTGATTCTTCCTTCAGCCGCTAGATATCTGTTGAGGCCCCTGTGGCTGCCACGCTCTCATCTAGCCAACAGGCAACTCCTGAGGGCAGGAATTTTTCTCCTGGAACGAGGCGCCCTCTCTGCTTTCACGCAAAAGCAGGCATTCCCTCCACAGCCTCCCCACAATCTTCCATACTCTTAAGTGCACATATAAGAATAACACGTATTGGATGCTGGGCAGGGGGAGGGGGAGGAGGAGACGGGCATATGCACAGACAATGAGTGCGATGCGCACCTCCGGGGGAATGGACACACTTGAAGCTCGGACTTGG